ACAGCCTGTAAACCCCCGTTTTCAAGGGGGGAGCTTAGAGAGAGTGCCTAGCACGAATTTTAGAGGTTTTTTCAGCCTTGTTCATCAATCTTTTGGGATTCTTTGTAAGTTCCACCTTTTTAATTAATGACAATTAATTTTATTCTTCCCAATTCTGTTGATTCCTCAATTATGAATTGTGAGTACTTTATTTAGGGATTGGGATTGATGAAGGGGTTGATCATGATGTATGGATAGATTCCTTTCGGTTTAATTGCATGAATGTCATTTAATTTGTGTTTGAATAATTTAACTGATATCTCTTGTAACCCAGAACGCGCGCTAGAATTACAATTGCTTGTAGAATAAATTAAGAAAGATCTAGTTTATTCTAGGACACATTCACACACACTTAATCGTTCGCTAAGAGATTAGTAGCGATTAAGGGGCCGTAAGCTCGTTCGTGTTCGCAATAATTTAGGATCCTGTCGCGTGAGAGATCAGCCTGGTCTCCTAAATTATTGTACTCTACGCCGCGAGAGCGGTAAGAACTTAGTAATGATTAGCTAGGCTCAATTGAATTAATTTCATGTAATTAGGCTGATCTGCCAGAAATCTGGTTACCCCGAAATCGATCCCTGTTCCCTTCGTCATTAATTAGAAAGAACCCCCTAGGTTAATTGTTCGCATTAGTTTTATTTTTCAAACCAACCAATCTCGCACGACGCTTTTATTTTATTTTCTTTTTAATCACTGAATTTAATTAATTCTTGATTCCCTTTTGTCTGTCCCTGTGGAGACGATACTCGTACTTACACCACTATATTACGATCTATTTTAAGTGCGAGAAAACTCACATCACTCTAGCTGCAAATCCTAATCATCATGAAAGAACCTAAGCACGTGGAAATTGATTGTCATTTTGTTAGAGAGTGGATTCAGTCTGGAGTTATATATGTCCACTCTTTGTTCCTACTCATCACCAAATTGCAGACATATTAACAAAACCCCTAGGGCGAGCTACTTTTCATTTTTTGTTATCCAAGATGAGCATACAAAATATGTACTCTCCTCTTGAGGGGTCTTGGCATATTAAACCCAACTCATGCCACGTAGACTTGAATATTGGAAGGATGCCATGCAATGTAAAAGATGAAGCAGCATGCACACATGTGAAGGATGATATTGCATGTAGGAACAAAGAAGAAAGATCTAGAAGATCCTAGTTAGTTTGATTAGTTAGAAATCTGTTAGATACAATAACGTAACCAGGGGCGGAGGTACCTTCATGCTGTAGGGGGCCATTGCCCCTTCCAGATTTTTTTTTAGTACTACTAGTGTTTAGTTTTTTTATTTGGCCCTTCTCCCAATAATTTTGTTAGCAAATGCATGTCATGTACTTTAGTTGCAAATTAAAGTATAACGTTTAGAGGCTTCTCATTCATTTCACTCATTCATTTTGTGGGATGTATCAACTAAGCAGGAAGTAAAATTAAAGTTTAATTTGAACTTGAGTTGCAAATGTTTAAATTAATCTAAATAAGGGAAATTTCTTTAATAAAAAAGTTAGGATAAATTATATTTGAAGTTGGATCGTAAAGGATGAATTTCCTTAAGAAAAATGCTTTCTAACTTTTAAAGTCAAAAAGTTAGTATCAATGTTTATTAATAGATGTATATACTTAAACTAAACGTTTTAGAGTTAAAAACTAGAAACAAACTATTTTTACTTTTTCTATTGCACTTTTTCAATGATGTGAAAGAGAGAAGTCCTAAATATCATTGAGGTGCTATTGGATAATGTTTTTCAATTTTCTTTTGATGAATATCGGTACATCATTTGATATTAACATTACATTTGGATTTAAAAAAAAAACATTACATTTTATGTTACGGTTTGTACTTTAGCGTGGCCCCCCTCCCTTCATAATCCTAGCTCCGCCCCTGAACGTAACTATTTATATCTTTCTTGTTATTCTGTTTTGGACGTGTAGCTTGTATATAAACATTCATTCTGTACTCAGTTCGAATGTAATGAAAGTTAGCTTTCTTCCTTCTATATTTCTTGTATGAATTATTCTTCATTCCAGCTTAATACTTTCTACATATATTTTATACAAATGAAAAATTAAAATCGAATTGAACAAATCCGGACATAATGAAATCAAAACATAGTACGGAGTATATTTTTATTTGATAAACTTTTTTAACGTGTTTGAACCGAAAATCGATCAAAGCAAACCGAAATTAGTATGTTAACTTCTACTTTCTAACCCTGAAAAAATAGCTAAGGATTGCCACAAATGACCATAAAAGTAAATTTGTTGCACTTTAATGGGGCTTGTGGAAAAGACGGAATTCTCTAATCTGGAAGGAGGAATGGCAGGGGGGCAGGAGTCATAACCAGTGCTATGAGCATGATTACCAATTGGAGGGAGGCCCAACAGTCAGGCAGTCAGCCGAAGAAGAGGGCTGGTGGTGGCAGAGAGCAGGTATGGCGTAGACCGGGTAGGGGTGTTGTCAAAGTGAATGTAGATGCTGCGGTTGACCCGAGTGGAGATAAGAGAGCTTGGGGCTGGGTGGCAAGGGATGAGCAGGGGAATTTTTTTAAGGCAGGAGGTGCTTCAGTTAGGGCAGGTTGATCCCCGGCAGCTGAAACAGAAGCGGCAGGGCTCAGGGAAGCTTTAGAGGAGGCGGTTGCAGCAGGCTGGCAGAACGTGGAGTTCGAGACAGACGCACTTTCTGTAGTCCAAGGCCTTCGACAAGGAGGAGGTTTTTCTTACATTGATTTAATTTTGGAAGATATTAAGGAAATCCTTTTAACAAAGAGTAATTATAGAGTCTCTTGTTGTAAACGATCTGCGAATCGTGTAGCTCATTCTCTGGCTAGAGCGCATGTTTTACTCTCAGATCATATGAGTGTTTTTTATGTTGCTCCAGATTGTATTGTAAGTCATTTGACTAATGATTTCATTAATTAATACAAGTGGTTAGTTGATGATAAAAAAAACGTTGAAAAAATAGCCTTAGTATCACATAAATTAAAGTGGGGTATACAAAAATCTTCGGCATGAATTTTTTGTTTCTCGTCTTCTTTTCTTTTCTAGTCTCCTTGGTCTTTGTCTTTTTTCCATAATGTAAAACTTTATTTCATTTTGACCATGCCTTTATTATTTGTCGTCTAACTGTCTGCGTCTAAGATAAATCCGATGGAGAGTGCAATACTGGGTCACGTTCGCGGGTACCCGGGTATTGTACGCAATATCGGTCCGATATTCTGTATTTCTAATACTCCGTATTACTTTGTGCTGGATGTGCTTTCTAAGCTAACGTTGCAAGTTAGTTGCAAAAAAAAAAAAAAAAAAAAAAAAAAAACTAACGTTGCGAGTTGATTAGTTAATGATAACTTAGACACATAATTTAATACTCCCTCCGTCCCATTGAACTTTGCCAAATTTCCTTTTTTTGTTGTCCCAAAAAACTTTGTCACTTTCCCATTAAAGTAACTATTTTGTGGTTTTGCTTATTTCTCTCTCCTCTGCACAATCTTCAACCACACAATTTTTACTATTCTTATTTCTCACCTAACTCAATTAGTGCAAAGTCTACAAAAAAAACTCTGCCACTCTTTTAACGCATTAAATAAGGTTTTTTCAAATTTGAGTTGGGTTGCACCTAAAATGAGCCACTTAGTTACGCGAGTGATAGAAAAGATATATTTATTAATTAGCTTTTAGTGTTAATATCTAGACATACAATTATGCATCAAATGTGGTTGATCTGATCTCCAATATCAGGTGCTACTTCTGCCCCGCTTCAAAATTGCATTTAAAACTGACGCACCGTACTTTTTAGTTTTTGAGACATTAAATAAGTAAAGTTGAGTATAAAAATAGTGAAATTGTAGATGTATTAATTTTATACATTATCATTAATTAAGCTATTGTTTAAGAGATTAATTAAATGTGACGTAGAAAATATAAATTGGCCAAAAGTATCTTTCTAGCATCCGAGGGATTTACGATGACTAGTGGATTGAGCACGAAAAGTGAGGTGCGGCAATGTACATACGTAATTAGGTATGCATGTGCAATATTAATGGTCTCTCCAACTTTACAGGCTACTAAGTACACCTCAAATGAGATACTCTTGAAATGTCCTAATGTTTTTTCTATTTTCCTTTTTATAAAGTATTGCATGACTAACATCCATTTACTTTTTTTTACTTAATTATAATCATACATTTCCACTTTAACTTTACTTTCTTAAACTCTGATCCTCACTTTGTAGTGTGGCAATAAGATTCCTGCTTATTATATATACTATTCACTTTAGTTCTTCGTGGTAACAAATTTGTGATACTATGTGCTTCCTCCGTTCCACAAAACTTGGCCAATTTTAACTTGCACGTGAAATAATTAAGTAAAAATTGTGTGATTGATATTTGTGCATAAAAAAGATAAACAACTTTAAACACATATTTATTACTTTAAATGGAATTGACAAACTTTTTTAGAACGTTCAAATAAGAAATTTAGCAAAGTTTTGTGGGACAGAGAGAAGTGTATCTTTGCTTATTTTTCACCGTAGATGTGGAATTTTACTAGTACTTGTATAAGAAAGAAAAGTGGCAAAAATAATATCACACCCTTTTCAAACAAAATAGAATTAAATATTAATGAATGATTTAAAAAAAAAGAAGAGAAAATGGCATACTAGATTAATTCAACTCATCATTAGCCAAAGGCTTACAATTAGGAGTGTGCACCGGGCCAAAACTGGACCGGACCAGACCGGACTGGATCGGAACCGGAATTGGATAAAAATGAAAGCCGACAACCGGACCGGTATATGTCCGGTTTTAACTTGGAACCGAACCAGAAATTCCAGTTGATAACCTGAACCGGTCCGGCTAAACCGGTTTATGTTTTTTCAGCAACCTCTTACACCAGAAATGATAATAAATTATACTCCCAAAAATGTCTAAAAATCTCAGAAATCTTGTAGTAAAGTTTGCAAGTTGCAACATGTCTAAAAACCCCAAATATAAGGTTTACAACTTTTGGTATAACGTTTGCAAATTTCACATGTATAGACTATAGACTAAAATTTCACATGTCCCAACTAAAATTTCACATGTCCACAAATCCACAAAATTCCTCATAAAGTATAAGGTTTACAACTTATTAAAAAAACATCAACCAACATAAACCATACCAACATGATTATGTAATACGGAGTATTAAAGCTTGCAACTTCAAGTAACATAAACTAGTTCTTCGGTAACACAACTTGTCTCTTCCACACCTACAAAAATTAAAATCAAATTAAAACAAAATTAATATGAGCATTACAATCAAAACGTAGAAAGAAAGAGAGTTATTTCCCAACGATTTAGTCCCTCAAGGCCTCAACTATGTCCTAGGACCAGTTGGACATATTTCAATCTGATAGAAGTGTATTTTAGGACACATGAGAGCTAAATTGGGTACAAAGTACATGGTGGGGGAGAAAACCTATTCCCAAACTGAATTTAGTGAAGAACGGACAAAATACCCTTTAAGTTTACATCCAAACGTGTACAGGGACTAAATGTGACCAAATAGCATTGTGTATAGGCATTTGACCAAACTTGTACAAACTAAATTGATCAAAAAATTAAAAGACCAGACCAAATTGAGAATTAGTGTATAGGCATTTATTAGCTCCACAAAAGACAACTCAAACTAATGACTTGAAAGATTATACAACATCAACCACAGAAAAATATCACTTCACGTGTATTTATTTCACACGAACCCAAACAAAGAATTTGAAATATCCACACTATATGTCTCGACATTCTTAATTAATTCTTAAAATATAAGAACCAGTCGAACTTCATCATATCATAAATTTACAAATCTAAAGAAATACCTTTTTCCACCTCATGCAATTCCTTTAAATTTTCTTTCACATCTATCCTTGTTTTTCGCCAATTAGATCTAATCCAATCTTGACCACAAATAAGAGCACGCACCATCTTATTACAAAGCAAGAAAAAATCAAGAATAAAAATATAGCTTTAAAAAAATTTGATGTTAATTTACTGATGACACAATTGATATCGGTATTGCTAATATATCACGAGCCATACGCGTTACTACCGGAAATCTAGAACTGTTTAGATTCCACCAAGGCAAAACATCCTTCTCTTCCTCATCCCCTCTTTCCTCATCAAGGTAACGATCAAACTCGCTTCTTGAAAAATGTTGTGACCCACTCATTTGTCTAACCCGATCTTTAACAAGATTCATCAAAGTAGAAGAACCAACGACTGAAGAAGTTACTCTTGATCTACTAGTTACCCCACTCTCATCAACCACAACCGGAGGAGAAAACACTCTTCTATACTCATACAAATCATAAGCACATTTCTTAATCTTTTCAAATAAAGGTTGTGCATTTCTTTTCACCATAACTATCAACAAGAGCAATATTCACTCCAATCAATTTAAAGTTCGGGTCAAGAATGGTACATACCCATGTATATCAATTTGTTCACCTTTTCAATATCACCTCAATATTTGTCATACTTAAATTTCATTTTAGTTGCCATATTTTTCATAGCAAGTTTATTACTAATAACATATTTTTCCAACAAATCAAGAGTATGACATATATGGAAGAATCATGTGTTACTTGTGACATACAACGAGTCTGACACATTTTAAGTCAACTCATAAAATTCCTTCAGAAAAACAACAAGATATTGAAGCGTCTCCAAGTCCTCATCACTACGGGGATTTAAACGTCCCATATCTTCCAACTCCCTAGGAAGATCAACTCTCACAAAAACATCCTTGTATTTCAACACTGTATCCAACATATCATATGTGGAGTTCCACCTAGTAGGATCACTACGTGAGTGATGGAAAATTAATACGGACTCTTATAAGGGAATCTTTGTCGTTAGAGTAGTCCCTCATTAAGTCCTCGGCAGTTGGGTTTTAGTAAAAAAGTTTATAAGGACTTAATAAGGGAATGAGTCCTTAATTATGATGGGGAAAAAACAGCCACAAACGGAACTAATAAAATGCGGAATTAATCTCCGTTTGGCTAAACTTTCCCAACCTGAATGAACCTTTGAGGATGCAAACAAATAGGGTGTTCTTAATACAATTAGAACACACAATATTGCTGCCACACACCAATATAATGAGCTAAAACAGTAAGCACACACCACACAAAAACACCGGAATTTTAGCGTGGAAAACCCGTTAACTAGGGAAAAACCACGGGACCATTTTGGCCGCTTAAATCCACTATCATCATCAAAGGAGCAGTACAAAGTCTTCTCTAGATAATACTAGAGGCATACAAAATCATCATATCCTTGGAAGTAAGCACATCAAGGTGTATGGAATCAAATAGAGCCAAGATAAGAAAAATATCACCAGAAACATAGCTACTGTCCAGACCAACGAAACCCGACCTCCGGATCTCAAAACCCGATCTCCACCGTCCAGAATGTTGGCCCAGATGCTGTGAAGCTGCTGTCCAAAAATCACGACGATCCAACGGTTCAATCTCCGGGAAACGGAATTGTTCTGCTGCTGCTTGCTGAAAAACGGGATGAGCATTTCAGCTCATGTTTTGTGACTTGTTCTCTCTATCTGCTGCTCTCTTGCTGTCCTTCGAATGTGAGATAGTGGCTGACCCATTTTTTTTTAATATTAGCTCCCAAAATAGAAAGTCAAAGAAGACTTTTAATGGGCTCAAAACTTGGGCTTTCCTCATGGGTCAAAAACAAAGAAAAAACCCAACAAATCTCCCCCTTTTTGACTTATGAGGAAGAGTTCGCCATACCGGCGATGGAACAACATACCTTCAACTTTTCCCTTGCTAGAACCTTCGTCAACATATCGGCACCATTATCATCGGTATGAACTTTATCAAGTTCAAACAGTTTGTCTTCAAGTGCATCTCTAATCCAATGATACCTCACATCAATATGTTTGGTTCGTTTGTGAAACATAGAATTTTTAGCAAGGTGAATGGTACTTTGATTATCACAAAGAACCACGTAGCGCTGTTGCATAAAGCCAATCTCTTGCATAAATCTTTTGAACCATAATAGCTCCTTACACGCTTCTGTTGCAGCCACATACTCAGCCTCGGTGGTGGATAAAACCACACACTTTTGCAGTCTCAATTGCCATGACACAACTCCCCCTGCAAAAGTCATCAAATATCCAGAAGTGGATTTCATGTTGTCCTTATTTCCTGCCATATCAGAATCAGTATAACCAACAAGTATTGGCTTCCCATTTCCAAATGTTATACCCAATTTGGAAGTACCACGTAGATATCTGAGAATCCACTTCACTGCTTCCCAATGCTTCTTACCTGGATTTGACAGAAAATGACTAACAACACCTACTGCATTGGCAATATCAGGTCGTGTGCACACCATAGCATACATCAAGCTCCCTACAACTGAGGCATAAGGAACTTTATCCATCTCTTCAATCTTCTTCTCAGAAGATGGACAATCTTTATCTGTCAACCTGAAGTTGGTAGTAAGAGGTGAACTAACCTCTTTAGCTTTGTCCATGTTGAATCTGCGAAGCACCTTCTCAATGTATTGCTCCTGTGACATGTGTAGCTTCTTCAAAGCTCTATCTCGAGTGATCCAAATGCCAAGAATCTGTTTTGCTGGCCCCAAGTCTTTCATAGCAAAAGACTTGCTCAATTGCATCTTCAGCTGAGTAATTCTTTCTGCATTCTTGCCAACAATTAACATGTCATCAACATATAACAATAAAATGATGAAATCATCATCACCAAACCTCTGGAAGAAAACACAATGGTCTGAAGTAGTCTTTCGGTAATTTTGCTCCCCCATAACTGACTCAAACTTCTTGTACCACTGTCTTGGTGCTTGCTTCAACCCATAAAGACTCTTTTGAAGTCTACACACATAGCCTTCTTTTCCCTTAACCTGAAACCCTTCAGGTTGCTCCATGTAGATTTCCTTATCCAAGTCACCATGAAGAAAAGCTGTCTTGACATCCATTTGTTCAACCTCGAGATCAAGGCTGGCTGCCAAACCCGGCCAGAACAACACGAATAGATCCCATCTTCACGACCGGAGAGAAAATCTCATCAAAATCAATACCCTTTCTCTGACTGAACCCTTTGACCACCAATCTAGCCTTGTACCTAGGTTATGAGGTGTACTCTTCAGTCTTCACTTTGTAGACCCACTTGTTTTTCAAAGCTCTCTTGCCTTTAGGCAACTTCACCAACTCAAATGTATTATTTTCATGTAAGGAATTCATCTCATCTTGCATGGCTTCAACCCACTCCCTTTTGTGCTCATCTTCCATGGCCTCTGCATAATACTCAGGCTCTCCCGCATCAGTGAGTAAGACATACTCATTAGCTGAAAAACGGGTGGAAGGATGGCGATCTCACTACAACAAAATAGACCGTATGTAACACATAAAAAATGTTACGTAACATTGTTTAAATGTTACAAAAGGCTTATGCAACACTTTTGAAGGCGTTGCTTCAGGTCTCGTTGCATAAAGTCATACGCAACACTTTTCACCATCTTAAGCAACATTAACAATAAATGTTGCATAAGTAACTCAATTGTAACACTTTGTTGCAACACTTCAACAAGCATCTTACGTAACATTGTTTAATGAAATGCAACACTTAAATTAAGACTTTATGCAACACTCATTGTATTAAGGCAACATATTTATTCTGCACCTATGCAACACTATATGTATATTATGTAACATTTTATTGATGATTTATGCAACATTTTTATTGAAAATGGCAACATTTTTATATAATTATAAGCAACACACTTTATAAGATTTTACAACATAAATTAAGATTATATACCAAGACCTCTCATACATTATTATTAATACAATCAAATCATACTGTGTGAATTTAAAGAAGTATCCAACAATATGTTCTGTTTAAAAATAACATAAATTTGACAACAATAAGCATCACAATTTCTTTCTCCTTTAACGTAACACCAAAATATCCATCAACTACAACTCTCTATTTCTTCCTTGATTTAAAGAACTTCAATGTAGTAACATCATCGGTGCATCACAATCTTCTCTCAAGGCTTCAACTCTCATCAGTATTGTTTGCCTGCAGGTGAGGGAGAGAGTGTCATATAATTATCAAATTAAGACCAATAGTGATATATAATTTGCACAAATAATACAAGTTTAAAAAATTAATGGTTTTAAAGCCTGTTATTTAGTGAGATGGCAGCAATATCTCACGACAGCAAATTTTATATAGAAGCAAATTAATTCTCTGCAGTCCATGTTTGACAAGTTAAATCTTGTTCATGTAAAAATGACTTAGATTAATATCGTACCCAATGCATGAAATGTTTAAGCTTCACGGAACACCAAAGGCTATCACAATTTATATGTGATAGTACCTAAAGAAAGCATTGTGTCAGATTAGAATTAGAATGTATAATTAAGTAAACTGTTTAATTTTAAACAATTAAAGAAAAAGTTGTGCTTTAGGGTACATCTTTTGAACCTCTGTCTGAAAGTGGAAACATCAGTTTCTCTTGTGGACGATTGATAAGCCATGGTTTAGTATATTCTGCAATATTCATCAGTAAAGTAATGTTGAGAATCATGTCCTCAACAAAATAAATTTGAGGCATTAAGCATGGGAAAATAGGCAAATAGAAAGGAATTGATCATGAAAGTATGAAACAATAAAAAAATCTGCAATTGGAGTTAACAATTGTATGATTCTAAGCTGCCTTCACAAGATCATGGTCATTGTTTAACATTTTTCACATGATTCCGTTGTCAGAAACATAACTCATTAATCGTGAAGAGGAAAATTCACCTTTACTCATTCCTTCTTTTAATGTTGCTCATTCAAATGACAATCTAATGCTGCTTTTTGTGTCATTTTACACATTCTGAAAAAGAGCTTCAGTTTTTACAGAGGTATTCAAGACTATGATTAAAATTGAAAAACTCATTGTGACAATTTTACAAGCACCTTAAAGGCACTATAAAATTTAGAATCTCGGAAATGGATATTTTCACTCCATCTCAATTCAAACTAAATCAGTAAACATTATACAAAAATATATAAACAGTTCAAACCATAAGCATATGAAATATTTTATTGTCAAATATATCTAAAAAAAAAGCATAAGTTTTTATTTTATTGTCATTTCATTGCACAAATTTTATTTTCTTAGGTACTACCTTGCTTGTTTCAAATCTGGAGCTTCAATGTTTATTAATAGCAAATTGTTTTAAGGCCATCATGTCTATAGAGGCTAGAACTCTGGGATATTACCTGAACAAATCGACAGATGGAAAAAACGGCCCTTCAAAGTTATCCCGTCAAGATTGCCACTGCTCAAAACAGATGCACACTATGATCATTGGCAGTGGGCACTAGATATAAAAGAAGAGAAAAGTAAATTACATATATGCAGTCCAGATTGGAAGTAGAGTAAGAGTGTATATCACTTTGGATTACATGTGAATTTCTTAAACTCTTAAATAATAAAGTACGGAGTATGTAAAAGTAAAATTGCTGGACTATATTTACTAGTCATGGTAGCAAATGTGTAGAAGGAATCATTTCATTGAAATGAGTGATGTACTCAAGCTTATTCTTGGTTGTTGTACATGAGGTAACCCTGCATGTAAATTAAGTGTGTTATACAGTTTTCGCACAAAGAAAAAAGAACTTGGCTTTGCGGGACTCTAGACTTAAGAGAATGATTTAGAATTGAAAAGGCTATTGAGGAATTACTACAAACACCTTAAAGGCATAGTAGAACTTGGAACTTTAAAACTGAAACTTTTAACACTCCATCTCAAATTTATAGCGACTGAATCAACAAAACTAAGCAAATACGAGTACATATACAAAACCGAACTCCGAGTTTACAAAATTTGTCAATAATAAATATACATCATAAAAAGCACAGTTACCTAAAAATCGTGGAAGAGATGTACCTGGAAATAGAAGTGGCGCTAGGCGATGGAAGACAGGGCTGGTTGACGGACGCCTGGTGACTCCCAAGAATAAGCGAACTCCATAGAACGGGACAATCTCGACCGGCATCGCTAACCCGCTGCCTCCCAGATGACCTAACAGCTTTGATTCGTTAAAAATCTCCCCTAAAGTAATCGATTGCAGCAAAATAAAAAGCAGAAGGGGAATTAGGAGCTATGTTTATTCCTTAAGAGTGTTTGTAGTTGCTTGTTTATTTAAGAGGGTAATTTTTTAAAGTAATTTACAATTTGGAATAAGTTGGTAATACTCCGTATATAGTAAGAGATGTGCTTTTTGTATACTAGAGAAAAAAGTGGTTTCAGTATGTTTTTATTTGAACTTTTTTGAGTCCCAAATCTGAACATATCATATTAGATTTAATCAAACTAGACCAACCCAAACGTAAAAATATCAGATTTGACCAAACTTCTGCAGTTATAAAATACACAGAGATCGTTCATTTATCAGGCTAGACTAGACCAGTTTAGACTAGATCACACCAGACCAGAAAATGTTAGTCCAATTAAAAACATTCTGAAACATTTCTACACCTATTTCCAAGTTCCAACTCTTAACATTTTAATATTTAATTTAAGCAAAAGTTATCAATTGAAAACATTTATTTAA